TATATCGAAAATTCATTAAACCGCCGCTGACCCTTCGCATGGCTTCTTTGCACTCCGCTCTTGTCAAGGTAATTTCATTTCGAACGCTTGATGATTTCACGTGTCGACACGTTTTCGTCCTGCGTCCGTGACCGACAACAACAAACCATGTTATTGTCGCTTCATTCGGTGAACGATTATTTTTTTTATCACAGTATTTACCGGGAGAAAAAGATAAATGGGTGAAGGGGAAAGAGTTGTTCCGTTATAAGCGTATTTCAAATCGCTGTAAAATCGAAGCATTCTCGCTGCTCGTACGTTGTATTATTTAAAAAACTTTTCCTGCTGGGAAGAGACCATCCATTATCTACGACTCCGATAAATCCGCCAAGGTGTTCTCTCTCCTTGTGTTTGGCGGATATATCAGGGTTTCCTCGTCTTGGTGCTATCGCATCACCTTCCTCCTCCCCCCTCCCCCTCTTCTACGCTTGTTTCCTTTTCTTCCCGCTAACGTGGACTTTAGAATCGACGGGAGTTACGGGAGGACAGGGTCGGTAAACCCGATAAATTGCGAGATTTTTCCGTGACCGATCGAACGAACGTCGCACCTTGTTCCCGAATTATCGTGAATACACGTGGAAATGCCTGAATTCGCGCTAGAACGGTTCGTACTAGTCGAACGTTAAATGCAAATTCATGCAGTCCTTGATTATTTCGCTTTCAAGGTGTCCCTCGCTATAAATAATCTCGCCGTTAATAATAATCGATATTCCTCGTTACGTGGCCGATTCAGCCTATATATATAATAACTATTACCGTTAATAGATGATTCGTTATGCGATAATTATGGTCGCCGTTTATGGGGCAACTTAAAATTCCACTGCTAATTAAATTAAGCGATGGATAGACTGACCAGATTGAAGTATGAGTTTTACTCATCTCGCTTCTACCGGCCGTTTCGAACAAGTTTCTGAAAACCAACATCGAGCATTTTTTACTTCCGGTGGTTCACGAAATTCATCGACAGCTGGGCAAATCTAAGATTTCGCGTTCTTTCGGACGTCGAACGTTTTCCATGCGCGTGTTACAGATTGTATCCGACTGGCTGGTAGTGGTGGGTCGCCTAGGCAGGAGATCGTAGAGACGGTAAATCCTGGTTAAATCCGTAAAAAAACAAAAGCGAGCGTTAGAGGATTGTGACGGCTGCTACTAACACCCTTCGTTCTTTCTCCTTTCGTCGAAGATTCATGTGTCCCTCTTTTTGCAAAATTCTTCCGAACAATTATCGGTCGACGACAGTTTTCTTTTTTTCCAACTGGAAAGTTATGCGTTCTTTCGATAGAGAGAGAAAGAGAGAGAGAGAGAGAGAGAGAGGGGGGGAGAGAGGAAAAACAAAATAAAACGTAAGGGAACAAGGATGAGAATCGTCGTGATTTCAGTGCGTTCCAATTTTCTCCTTGGGAAATTTATTTACACGGCGGCAATCAGGGCTTGGAAATCTCGACGCGGAAGGTGGGCGGAGAGACGGTAAGTGGAGCATTAAGTTCGAAATTTCGGAACACGACGTACACGACCTGGACGCGTACACGGTATTCTTGGTGGACGAGTCCGAGAGCACTCGATAGGCTAAGTAAATCAGAGGCCTTTGGTCAAGAGTACAGCCTCCACTACGTTTAGTGTGGGAGTTAAAGGGGACAGAGCAGAGGAGGAGCTCGGAGGGTGATGAAGGAAGGATGGTGCAATAGTGGTGGTAGAAGCAACAAAGGGTTGGCTAAGAGCTCTTCACCGTCCACTCGCTCGCTTTCTCCAACCACCGAAGCATCACCTACTTCTCGCTGCAGCGAGGCTTGCTTGCCTCGTGATGTGATTGCTACCAAAATGTGTTTACCGTAAACCGTATCAAACTGTCGACCGTCCACCATCATCGTTACCGTTTATCTTTTCTCTGTGGTACACCGATAAAAGTATGCACCTCTATCGATTCACGTCCGCCATGACACGTCGCATCGCGTCCACGCCAACATCGTTCGGCCAACGAAGGAACCTTTGAAACTGCTCTTTTACCCTTTGTCTTTGGCGTCAGCTTAGAAGTTCCCGTGCAAGTTGGTAAACGTTGCGGACAAGTTTGCCTTTTGTGTCTTGCAACGTTGTTATTTGCCAAGGATCGTCAGTTCTCTTTTTTCTTTCTTTCTTTCTTTACTGCTCTCTCCTTGCCCCCCTTTCTTCTTTGCTTGCTAAGTTAAATGGTAATTATAGGGAACGTCGAAGAACAACACAGTTTTCTTCCGTTACTTCTTTCACTTCTTTACCTTTTACGAAAAGTAACAATTTTATTAAAACAAGTACGGTACTATAGTTCAGTCTCGTTTCAAACGAGATAAATTAGTACGGAGCTTGAACGACGCTGTTCGATCTACTTTTGTAACACGTCTTCCATATTTCGAACAGACATATCGCCGAGTGGAACCGATAGAATATAGCCAGCGGCATAGACACGTGCGTGATGATCGTCCATGCCCATACACCGAAGAATCGTAAATGCTCGGGACGAACTCCAGCGCGAGATTTCTCCAGGGTGTTCACTGTCCATAAGGCGATGTTGACGACTATCAGGAAGGTGATCAGTTCCTTGCCAGGCTTGTCGTTTCTCGAGCAACGTCTTCCCCACGCGATCTACGAATTTTCGAATAGTCGAGAGACAGTCATCATTGCGAACTGTCGATACGCAAGAACTTATTATTATCCCGATACGATCAATTTCTTACTTTAATGAGCAGCGTCTGGCTGGTGCTCTGCATCAGGGCCAACAAATCTGTGATCAGCGATAGCACCCAAGTCGATCCCATTGTCAACGCATCACCAACAACTCCGAACAGACAATACAGATAAACTCCAGCTTGAGCCGCCGCCAACAGCGTGGTATCCAAGTCCGATGGTTTGATAATCTTCTGCTGCAACGCTTGCAACTTCAACGTTCCAGCGATCGAAGCGATCATACCTACAATCGTCCGCTTTCTTTTCTTTGATTTTGAGGATAAAATACAGAAGAACTGGCGTTTCATCAGATCATCCAGATTTTCCAGAGTTTCGAATGCGAAATGCGAATTTCACGCGATAACGATACATGATAATTTGATAAAAGGTCGGCACAGTTACCTAACGCGAGTATAGTGGCGTCCAACGCTGTGACTTGAACGATCGCGATTTTCATCTTGGTCTCCTTCAGCATGAAGAACATGATCAAGCTCAATATCGTCCCGGCGATGATCAAAATTCCGCCGAAGAGCCCTCTGGAAAAAGAAGAAGAAAGAGAGAAAACGATGGAGAAGGAAAGGTCTTAAAATCTCGACGATATCGCATTAACAAATTAACGGGGAATCCTATCGATTTAAT